GAGTGTCTGTCAATTATAACAGTTGAAAATTAAAAGTATTTGTGTATTTATACCATATTTTTCCCTTGTTACACTCATTATGTATGTTAATTAAGATTAAAGAATTATAAAATATTCATTTTGTTGCTTTATTTAATCAATTCAAACATATTTTATACAATATTATATATAATAGGTTTTAATGCAAAAAACAAAACAAAATGTACGTGCAAGTTATATATTCTTATTACATTGTCTTTCTTGTGCGATTTACTAATTCACCTTTTGTTCCAAGCAGACTGAGATGTGGAAAATAAGAGGTTAGAAATTGACAGGATTTTAACAGATTATTTATTTCACCGATTCTTTGAAACAACCAAAGTTAGCTTAAAATTGAATATATGTGGTTTCGAACTGCAAAAAAAACCTAAAGGAAAAGTTGGTGGCAGGTTTTAAAAGAATTTAGTAGTTGGTGACATTCAGTTTAATCAAATTTAATTCAAGTTTTATCACAGGCAATAATAATTTTTTATGAACCTTTTTATGAAATAAAAGCATACACATAAACGAATGTTAATACACATGTTTACTCCAATATTCTATGATTTAAAACACCTGCTTTAGTTCTCTAAAACAAATGATTAATTATCTAACAAAATTTAATACCAAAAATATTATCATTTTCTTAGCGTGAGTCATATTATGATAATGTATAATATCATTTAACCAAATGGAAATAGATGATAAATAAATTGGTTCTGAAAAAAATCACAACGTTTCAGACGCTGATCAAGAGCGTTCATGGAGACACTTGATATATGAGCCGTGTCACGACAATACCAACATAATGGGTTTGCGACCAGCATGGATCCAGACCAGCCTGCGCATCCGCGCAGTCTGATCAGGATCCATGTTGTTCGCTATTAGATTCTCTACTTGTTATAGAGTTTGTAAGCGATCAGCATGGATCCTGATCAAACTGCGCGGATGCGCAGGCTGGTCTGAATCCATGCTGGTTGCAAACGCATTATGTTGGTTTTGTCGTGACGCGGCTCAATTATATAAACTTTTGCTTTGATATTACACATTTCAGGTGTCGCAAAAGTTTTACCACAAACAATGATGATTACTTCTGCTAATGAATCTTACTTTTTATCTACTGATGGATCACATAATCACCTAGGTACGTTATAAACACGTTGTTAACGTAAAATATGTTATAAATTGTATCTATGAAACTTAAGTAATATATTAAATTTTGATTTTTTTTTCACAACAGGTATGCGAGCATTCGTCTTACGAAACAAAAATTGATGTTTTTGACAACGTTTACACAAATCTATCTATCTTTCAGCTAGATATTAAAAAATGTACTTTAGTCAAATTGATGTAATGAGGGATAATGCCTTTTTATAACGAATGTATATACAATGTACATTCAAACATAGATAATCTGATTTCAGCATGACTTTTCCATAATTTTTTTTATCATAACTCTTAATTCTTCTAAGAACAAATATTAACTTTATAAAATTAATGCTAAAATAAAATAATAAAAAAAAAGTGAAAGTCATGTCGAAAGAAAAGTGGTGGAGTACGCCAAGGTTCAGTTTCATCCGCTTTGCTTTTATGTTTATTCGATTTTACCACATCAGTTACAAAATCGTGCATTCATCAGTTTTAGATATATGTCCGAAAAATTCAATACTTTAAACAAAGACAATATTTTATTCCGACAAATCATCAAGTAATATATGGGGTTAGAGAACAGATGCATACAGGAAGAACAATGACCAACACCTGTAAATTAGGCAATGATTAATTGATTACTGTCCTTGTATCGATCTCATTGACGATCAAATACTAATTAACTAGTGATTGATATATCAGTAAAAATCGTTATCATCGATCATTTGACTGATTAGGTGTTTATATTGCTACTTGATAACGAATTCTATCTATCTTTTTGTATAAATATGTAATGTAGCCATTTTTGATAAATCATAAAAGTCATGCTATTTACAAATGATTTGATAATTAATTGGTTAGTAGTTATATGTAAATAATCATAAGTAATATCAACATACTTGTGCTTTGATATTTTCAGTTGAAAACATGATACAAATGTTCTATATTATTGTCTGTAAATTTTTAAATATGGTGGACTATGTTAACTACTGAAAATGCTAAACATCAGTACTGGCGTGCTCTTTGAGACACTTTCGCCACATATTGTCCAGTTAAAATATAATAAGAAATTTGAATATTTGACCGTTTAAGATTGTTTGTGGCTTATTTCTTGTGTCCGAATATCATATGTTGTCCATGTCTTTGTTACTTATGGATCAGTTGAATATTCTTTATGACAGGTAAACAATCTAGGTGACAGTATCATTTTAAAGAGACAACGTGTCGTGTGTGCGTTAACAACGTTAAGACGTCATTGTCTAATGAAACTTGTATTATTTTTACTTTGCAGTGCAAAAAACGTATAAATGACACATCTAACGAAACATTACATATAATGAATTTACTACTGACTATCAGTTTAAGGTTTTATTGCCTTTGAAGTGATGGTGTGTAATATATCACAATCCAGGTTAGGTAAATGCTTTATTTTTATCTTATTGTGTGTTTAATTGATAGCGTCTCGTTTAAACGGTGTTTGGTCATATTTGATTAACCATTACATATGCATTTTTTTGCTTATAAATACTTTAATGTTTGTCTATATAAATATGCTATTCGAGTATTTCTACACATTTTATCTCAAAATTATTAGTAAACACATTTATGTTCAAATCGTATTTAATAGGAGTTTTCTGAAAATGAATTTTATTAAAAGATTTAACTTCAATTTCTATTAAATAGTTGTGAACTTAATATATGAATTTCTTCTAGAATAACGTTAAGCACATTCATATACATGTCTTTCTTCTTTCTAAATGTAAAGCACACATTTTTATACAGGAAAGTCTTTTTTTTAAAACGATAAGCACATTTACTAGTACATGCATTATTGTCTTCTATGAGAACTTATAGCTCATTCATATACTTTAATGTCTTGTATAAGAACGTAAAGCGCATTCATATACATGGATGTCTTCTATGAGAACGTTAAGCAATTTATATTCATAAATGTCTTCTATCAGAATGTAAAGCCAGTGAAATACTATAATATCTTGTATGAGAACTTTAAGCACATTCATATACATGAATGTCTTCTATGAGAACGTTAAGCAATTTATATTCATGAATGTCTTCTATCAGAATGTAAAGTACATTCAAATACTATGATATCTTGTATGAGAACTTTAAGCACATTCATATTCATGAATGTCTTCTATGAGAACGTAAAGCACATTTATATGCTTTAATGTCTTCTATTAGAATGTATACGTGAATGTCTTTCTCAAGAACGTAAAGCACATTCATATACTTAAATGTCTTCTATCAGAAGGTAAAGCATATTCATATTCATGAATGTCTTTCTCAAGAACGTAAAGCACATTCATATACATGAATGTCTTCTATCAGAATGTTAAGCACATTCATATACATGAATGTCTTCTATCAGAAGGTAAAGCACTGTCATATACATGAATGTCTTCTATCCAAAGGTTAAGCACATTATATACATGAATGTCTTCTATCAGAAGGTAAAGCACTGTCATATACATGAACATGAATGTTTTCTATAAGAACATAAAGCACTTTCTTATAAAAAAAAAATGTTTGCCCATAAAGCTTTATTGAATTTTTTATATCAAGCCTTAGTTTGACACTTAATTTCAATTGGAAAATAGAAATTGTGATCAAAATTTAACTATTTTATTGTTAACAAATTGAAAATACTTGCATCGATTTTTAAATCCACACAAAACAAACATTTTAAAGACAGAACAATGTAAACTATCACAATCATTTTATGATGTTAAAATATGGATCATAATAGTTGCATTAAATAAATGTCATGACAAATTTTGTCAATTTTATAAAATGACCAGAGTTGGGAAAACATCGTATTATGTGAACTGTCCATTATATATTTTATAGTTAAATTACATGGTTTAGATCTGCTTTTGCATAGATATTAGGAATTTCGTATATTGTTAGTATTGCTCATAAACTGCTTAGTGAACAGCAATATTAACTTTAAAACTATTTTAGCAACAGAGTCTATCCATATGACCAGTCTCGGCACTTTCAGTCGGTAGTTATTTTAAATTTCTTCTAAATAATGTAGGTTTTTCGTTGTTGTTTTTTTAGATTAAAAGATAGACGAATTCATCTGAAATATTTAGTATTGGTACGGGCTAATGTTGACGTTTCTTTGTGAATTATTGAGAGTTGATGTTTACAGTTGGGAGAAAAGTTTGGAGAAAAGGGCGGAACTAATATCACTGAGAGAACAATAATGTATATACAAAAATCATTTTTATTTTTATTTTTTATTTTTTTTATTCAGGCAAGTCGAAAACATTTTAATAACATTGAAATTATTTCGTTTTATTTAAAAAAATTACCGTTACAATTCAGTATTTTTCCCTTTTTATTAAATATGTCTTTCAAAATAAAATTAAATAATGTATACGTAGTCCCCATTTTTCCATACTAACAACAGTTTTTTTACAACTTGTATAAACACAAGTCCGAAAATATTTTATGTTGTATTTTTAGGTAAAGAACTTTAATGACTTGAATTAAATTAATTCTCTTTTAACAATTATTTACACGGATTAATCCTATTAGATTCTTTCTTATCGGTTGGTTTGTACATGGAATAAACTTTATAAAACAGTTTCTCCATAAAAATAATTCATCGTCATATGCACAATTGTTCTTTATAACTCTTCCATGCTATGTTCTAAATATTTATTTGGTGAATATAGTGAACGCGGACTCGCCTGTCTGGAAATGGCGGGAAAAGTTACGACAGGATCTATATTAAGCAAATGCCAATAAACTGGCTCTGGCAAACACACGTCAACTGGAAGATATCAAATATAACAAACAATGGATATGTTTCAATACTTTATAGATCAATAATAATTTAAACAATGCCGACAAAAATCAATATGGTAAAAAACAAGAAAATAAACAATGAAATGACTATATTCTACAAACATGATAAACATTTGATCAAAGAATAACGACTGAAATAAGATAAAATGAATGAAAAGAAGAAAAATATATCTCAAATTGAAGCATACTGTTTAAAAATAAAAAAAGAACCCAAATATACGAAAAAAACTGAAACTCGTCATTTAATGACATCACAATCAGTTATTGTAGATTTCGTTTCGCCATGTCAATGTCAATTCTCTATGTAAAGCCTGAACTACTTTTGAAACAAAGTAGTCCCAATTTTAAAAATTCTTATAAAAATATGTTGTTCATATAGGTGTTCTTTATACTGATTTTCTTACAAGTGTAGAAGAAAAGAAAATTTAGAAGAAAAACACACACGTCTTAATGAAAGAAATAAATTACCCATTTGAAACTGTATTGCTATAATTAAACAACCGATTATTCTAATTTTTAACAATTAAACAAAATATAGGTTATACAAACAAGGTGAGTTTTGTATTTGTGGAAAACTATTATCATATTTAGGAAAGAAAAAAAATGAAAGAAGTATAGTTAAATTAAATGTTATGAATATCATCATGACGATTCGTCTGTCCGTAAACAAGCACATATCCGAATTAATATATACACCATTCTTATATGAAAACACATACTAACATTATGATGATGGCAAGGAATTGTTAAAGCTATCTGGAACATAACTACATGTATATCAAAACACTTAATGTACTATTGATGATTCTCCAACAATATTGGGGTGCTTTCTGGTATTTTTTTCACTAAAATGAATTTTACAAAGGAAATAAACCTCCCGAAATACCTTAGAAAACATGTCCTCTTTTTATTTTTCAGTTAATGTTAATCAACTGTAGACTTTCATACATATATTCAGCGAGGATTCCATTTACCGTGCATGTTTTTCATATTATGGAAATTCTTTCATGAAATAATGAGATTTCTTTCATTTTAGTTTTCTGGAATCCGCAGACTTTTTTCAACACACAAAACTCTTTAATTGATAAATACTAAGGATAAACTGTTTACAAAGAAAACAAACGTAGCACTTTGTGTGTTCATAATCATGTCTTTATGTTTGAAATGTATAAATCTTGACATCCATTATTGTAAATTGCCACGATTTCTAAATTATTTACAAATTAAACAAATCATCAGTAATTCCAGAAGAAAGCTAATTCCCTTCCCGGTCGCATATAGGTGTTATTTTCATGCTTTATCTACCTAACATTTGGATCTACTCTGACACTAATCCCCATTTCCGGATTGCGCGCTCTCGCTGCTTTCCGGATTTTCGCGGCGGCACGTGGATTCAATTTTGTCCGTCTGCTCCACGTCACGCGAAGTTACGGTATGTGTCTGTTGAAAATTAGCCATATAATTATTCATATATTTATAAGGAAAACTACTATGCACGTGCCTAAGATTATGTTGTAATTGTTGAAGACTACTTTGTGAGAAATCTAGCGGCTTGTGTAAAATATCGTCTATGCCAAATGACCTAACAGGCCCTGGGTTAAGGTTCATCTTAGGGACACTTAAGTTCAAAGCCCATGGCTGGGGAAGGAAAGTCGCTTTACTGACTGCTGAAGTTAAATCCCGGTTTTGCAGGCCATATAGTCAGGTGGGCGATATCTGCGGAGTAGGTGGGGCTGTGAGAGTGGCTGACGGAGACGCTAATGATGTTGTACTTCCGGTTTCATCTTCATTTTCGATATCGATTTTTTCGTCGTCATCTTCTTCAAACGACTTATCGTCAACGTCTAGATCGTCGAAATCGGTGGAGGAGTCTCGGTCTGGTGAAGAGCCCTGATAATGATCTAACCTTGAACTGTCCCCACCTTGACTATTTAATCTGAAAATATAAAAAATTAAATACTTAGATTTCAGCCATTATAACATGCGTAAACATGAACAATTATATAAGACAATAAAATCTTTTTTATTACCACTGGCCAATGTTTTCAGACTGTTCAAAAGTTCATTGCTAACTATACCTTGCTACTTGTGTATTCTTCACTTTTAACAAAAATTCTTATTTCGAATTGTAAACATATTGAACGAAATAGCTCACACAAACAATATCTTGTTGTAACATACAAAAAAAAACTGTACCCGTCATATCACATTACCCAAGAAACTATTTGGCATTTTATTTGATTTTCTTTAACAAGGTTCCTACGGGTCAATTTTAATTGGATTTCTATTAAGTGCTTGATACCAGCGGTTTGCTACGCAAATATATATGATTGACGCGGTTATTGTCTCCGTATGAGTTTTCATTAAGACCGTCACAATGAGGCGTCCGTATCGTTAAATGTTTCATATTGATTGAGACATTATGACACGTATATGTTTAATTTTCAACAAAAAGTATTATATGGATTATTAGTAATTCATATCGTTTTCGGTTAATATATTTAATAACCCGTTTTGACGAATTAATAGATTTTGCCTAGCGCAAACGATCTTGAATTACCTTCCGTTGAAAAAAATCCGCCAAGTTAAATAGGAATAGGAAAATATGTGTTTTTGAAAGTATAATGTAAACAGATCATGTTAGAAGTGCGTCTTTGAATACCCTCTTGAAATAACAGATACCCTAAGAATACGGCAAATAAATTGATCTAGGATGACTCACACTAGATATCAAGCTAGAACGCAAATATACTGAAATATAAAATGCCAAGTAAGACATTTATTAAACGTTTTTTTAGGCATTTTTTGAAACAAATATGAAAAACGTTTTTTTTTTCTTATGTTGTTTACAATATATATAAGGGGTATGGAGGGCAATGGAGACACACTACAGATGTACTAAACAGAATAGAATAGCTCCAAGAAATAAAAAAAATATTTTGTCATTTTGTAATTGTAACAATAATTAATGAAGTATCATATAAAATTATATTAATACATGATTATTTCTCATAAGATTTCTAGGATTCCAGATAAACTAATTTTTTTTATTTGTATCTTTGTATCGTTATTTATATTTATTTAATTTATTTATTTATTTATTTATTTATTTATTTATTTATTTATTTATTTATTTATTTATTTATTTATTTATTTATGTATTTATTTATTTATGTAAAAATAAACATAAACCAATGTGAACACAGATTTCGTTCTCTTGGTTCACAATGAACTAATCCAAGACATTAAATACATTTTATTTTTTTAACCTTCATATTTTCTTTCAGTTATTTTATTTTTCATTACAAATAATTCCTTTTTTAAATTAAGAACAAATTCTTATGAATAAATTTTAAGTTTGTATTTTAAAAATAGATAATCGAAAGAAAATTAAGCCATCGTATTACACATGATACAAAATTTAATATCGGAATATATCGGAATATATCGAGATAAATATTATAATTATATAAAACGAAAACAAAACAAAACCGCGGAAATGAATAGAAAACTGGTTTCGCTTATTACAGTCGTTCATTGACAATACACAAATTCTTTTGAAAGCAATAAAGAAAAATAAGTACATTTATTTACTTAATTTTGGCGTCTATCACCGCAGATAGATGATTCATATTGCAAAGATATGTAAGAAATCTTACACTTTAAGAAGCTTAACATGTTTATATTAGATGGTAGCTATCACTCTGTACAAATAAAATTGTCAAATTCAACAAACAAAATTAGCCCGTATCTTAATCCCATACTATAAGGAAAACGTTTATGTAAAGTATATCTTTTGGCAGGTGTAAAAATAAGAAAGAAGCCCCAAAACAAACACAATGTGACAGTAAGCTACAGTACGCTTTAGATATTGTCCCAACCCATGTAATTTTTTACAATAAAAGATTTTGGTAGAAGTCCGATCTATTCAAGAGTCTGTAAATTGTTCCACTGAATTGAGTTTTAATACGATTTTATTGACTTTGAATCGGCTTAAAAGTAGGATAGAGTACTTTTGATCATAGATATAAAACACAACGATGGGACAGTATTAGATCATACTAATATATTATCAAAATTGATACGTTTTAACATATATCTTTTCTATACAGCAATATTTAATCAGAAGTAAAATATTGACATATGACACAAGACCAAGATTATACTTTGGCTTAGGACAAAATTATTTCTAAAAGTGAAATCAAGTAGACATGTTAATACAGTTTTCATAAAAAAGTGTCCAATCATTTATTTTGCCTGCACGATAATAAAAAGCGATTATTTCAAACGGGAATTAACGGGAATTAACTGTTACCCTTCTGGAACCGAGAGTGATTAGCCTTTGAAACCAGTATTCAGTCAGGACAGACCCTCTTACTGCGAGTAATTTTAAAATTTTCATCATGATTTGCCGAAAGTTAATGATAGACTGTTCCAAAACATGGAAGTGGGATGAAGCGAATTTAAGAATGGAATTTCAAAATCAATTAAAAGTTGAAAAAAACAACAAAAGCAAAAACAAAAGAACAGAAAATATACAGTTAACAATTTTCTTTGGAAGTTATAACTATCTTTTTTCTTTAAAAGAAATCTCAAGAATTGTTTTATTCTATACTTACTTTCAGAACTACTTGGCAATATTTATACATGTTTATTTATAAACAACAGACCATTGCTATAACAACCTTCATACTCGTGTGAGCCCTGATATTATATTTTAACACTCCCATATGCTTGTTTCCTGCTCCAGCTAGTGTTTAACAACTAAATTTGCATGAAAATCCCTTGATCTGATCTTAAAAACATTAAATGTCAAACCGATACATCTTCTTTTAACCAGTTTCACACATAACTTTTATTTAATTTGTTTAAATTATTATATCATGATATTTAAACTTAGTTTATATTTCACCATCTTGTATCAACAAGATGAGTACCATCTTTTATAGTCTGACATTTATAATTATCCAAAAATATCAAAGAATTAGAAACCGGCTTAATCATCAATGTCATATTTCAAGTATTTGTTTAGACATCGAAAGTGCTCTCATAATTTGCTAATGTGTTACATTAAATGTACGTTACTTTAAGATTACCTGCCGCTTATGTCAATAAGAATGGTGCCATTTCATCCGGGTAGTCTGCCAATGTCTGCTTATAACAATGAAAATTCCCTCTTCTACCACATTAGATAAAATACGCATTTTGAAAACTATACCAATAAAGGTCCTTGAATATTTTCTCAATTAAATTCTAAAGAAAGAAGATTTGGGTGCAATTTAAACAACATACTAGAGTCATGTGTAATATTTGTATTTTATTTGATTTTCAAGAGTTGAAATATTTGTTGTCAGAATAGAATACGAATTTTGTAAAGTTTTGCATTGAATCATTTTGTCTAGCCCTTTAACATTGACTTTTATCACAAACTTTGAAGCTGGTGTCAATTCTTAATTTTGAATTTAGTTTTTACTGAATTTTTGTATAACTAGTATTTAAAGATTCACTTATTGTTAACCATGTCAAAGATATTGTGAAATTATTTTCAACTTTCAAAAGAAAAATACATTGACAATTTTTATATGATAGAGTAACTTCTTTAAATTACTCACACCCTTAAATTATAGACTGATGAAAGCCGACCCAAAATTTGGTATGCATTATCGGTCTTTAAAAGAATTAAATTTGCAATTTAAACCGATCATTTTTTAAATTATTTCAGTCTTGCCAAAGAGTGTGTATGAGGTCGCAGGAAATTGTCATGGAGTGAGAGCCGTAATTTCATCGTATCAAATCGAGATTGGATATATGAGGAACGTAATTAGCTTGTCAAGCGCACTCTGAGCAGCCGAGGACAACATCTCAAGAAAATTCGCCACGACATCTTCTCTTCATTGAGCCCACGTTTCCATGTGCATTATCGTCTTTTCTCTGCCTTAACGCATCCTTAACTTATTTCGAACACAAGATAATAACAAGCCTAATAGTGATCAATGTCAGTTCTAGACTTCATCCGCCTTGTGTGACTTATTCAAGAAGAAAACTGGAACGGATTTTGCAAGCGACCAAATTGGCTTAGGCTAACATCATTATTTGGGGAACAGTATGGTTGGAGCAGTGAAAAAGGAGACAGAAATTGATATGACATCTCAATGTATTATAGTGACAATGTTTTTTAAAAGGCCAGGAAATGAAGCAGGGACACGGCTAGCGGTTTAGCAGACGACAAATTTAATCTATATTGAGAAATTGGCTGAGAAAGGGACATTTCTTTGTCAGCCTAGAAGTTGGTGTAAAAGAAAGCTTTTTTTCTTTCTTTTATTCTATCCCTTTTTATTCACAGAAATTACCAAGCTATATGTGTTAAGATATAGATAATATAAACTATTATAGGCGTTAATCTTATCAAAAAAGGAAAAAATAATATTCCAGAAATCGAATTTATTTTTTTTATTCGGAATTAAGCCAAGCACATACCGGTAGAAATACAAATGCAACTGTATACAATTCAGATCATTTTCCCAGGAACAATGCGTGCATTGTATTCGCAAATAATTTCAAACTGCATAAGTAAATATTGAAACAGTTAAACAATGCATTAATACACATAAAAGTCTATTCCGTGCATGCATTCAACATACAATTTAGTCTACATTTTATCGACGAAAATATCCCAACAATAACCAGGCACGTAGTTGTTGGAATCTACAGAGCCTTGCCAAGTTACAACATAAAGCGTCTTGAAAAAAAGTCATACAACATACCAGTGTGGTATATTACTGTAGATGTAAATATGGAAACGGAACTTGTGTTAGACAATTTATCTTATTTTCTCTTTCAAATTTCATTTATGCAAATCCTGGACCGATAAGAATTTTCTTAAATGTCCCCATCAGAGTTTGTATATTTATCAATCCGTTGACACATGTTCTCTGA